ATATACTTTTTATATCAAAACATTAAAATATGAAATAATTGTAGTTCTTATCCCTGTAAGTCTTACAAAGCCAGAATTTTGATAACTACATCATTTCGGGAGATATATAGCAATGGGTAAATCCTCACGGGACATTCTGTATATTATAGGTACAACTGGTACAAGTGAACAAGTATATAATATACATTTGTAAATTATAGTAAATTGTATRAATTATGTATACCTATARCAGCTATAACCTAACTATAATACTATATATACATTAAAAATAATAAACGAACGTGGATAATCACTAAAATGTTTGTTATTTATTTTATTCGCTGTTCGCTAATCGATAGGTAACCAGTAACCTTGAAAATTATTCAGTGTCATCTCGATGTCTTTGTTTAATGCTAGCTTTAACCTATATAGTACCTCTATAAGTACCTTAATATTACACCATTGATTAATTATTTTAGGCAATATAAGTTATATAGGTACCTTTTTTTTCCTGTTCAAAAACCAGGAACGGGTGGGAACTGTTTATCACAATAGTACAATACTGCCACTCATTCCTGTATCGTTTATTCTCTAACATAATATAGCAATTTATACAAAATTGAAGGCCTCTGACCACCCAGAAAATCTGGCCTCCGGGCCACAGAAAACAAACAAGTTATACACCTAGTAATTTTTTTTTCCGTTATAAATCACTACATGGGAGCCGTACTGTTTTCATATTGCTTAGCCTCAGACACCTATATAGTTATTCCTATATTACATTATATTAATAATTTCACAATAACATTATGCTGTACTACAATGTATATTATMTAACCGCAGAACCCTGTTTACGGTTTAAAAAAATTCTAGTCTTTATAACTTGTTAATTGTTATTGATTAATTTATAAGAAAAAGTTATTTGACTATATTGGACGTAATAGGTATTATATTTATTATTTRTGAACTATTAAGTAACTAAATGACAACAAAACTAAAGAAAACCTTTTATTATATTGAAATAATCTACTGTACAAAATTTGGTCTATCATTATTCATTACTTCATTAGTGGTGCAAATTATTCTAAGGCTACATGATGATAGCCCATAGATATGTACCTATTTAACTACATATCATAATAATATAATATATTAATATATTAACTATATAATTATAATTTACACAATACTTGTCCGCCGTATACCTACTTTTCCTTTTTATCACAAGGAAAAATGTAATCTTTTATACATTTTTTAGATCGCGATTAGCCTCGACATATTCTAATGATAGATGGATATTGAATTTGGTCTTTTAGTTTTTACTAGACCTAAAATAGTTGGGAGAGAAGGCGAARGAAAAAAAGAAAAAGAAGTTTTTACTTTATTCAATAGGTTCCAATTTGGGTCAATATAGTCTGAATATAAAGGTATTTATTAAACTTTTATAAAAAATAAAATTTTGAACAAAGAAGCTACAATAATAAAGTGTTCAATAATTTTACCTTCTATAGGGCAGATTATAATGGAGATAGTTAGTAGGTTTATTATCAACAATATAATATAGATGACGTTTTTGACAGTCATTATACCACTTTTACCGGCAAAATATTTATAAATAAATTTAATAAATGTTGGTAGGTACCTATATTTATACATACCTAACCTATATATTTAAAACATTTCTAATATTTGAATTAAATTAAATTTACCGTTTTTTTATTGTTTGAATAATTTAAAAATGTATTATTTATGTTAATGTTCTCAATTTTTCATTATGATAGGTATATATTGTCACTTTTTATCTAAAACTACCTACGATTATAGATTTATTTACCCACGTCTAGAAGTAAAGAAAACAGATTTTTTCAAAGTAATCTTATTGGTTATTAGTTTAATACCTATTATTTATAAAATAAATAAATATGGATTTT